GGTGTGATTATGTGAGAATCTTTCACATTTAAAAAAAAAAGAACATTTCTAATCCTCCAGGTGGTGGTAGAAATCTTGTAAACGTAGATCCTTGGAAACTCAAAACCCAGAGGCAAATAAAACTGATTTTGAAGCCAGAGATTTTAAACAATAATCTCATACCGTTTCTTTAGGCATGACCCATGAGTTTTGAATGGTTGGGGTTTGCAATAAGGTAGTCTGCTCAGGAGAGCCCAGTTAAAGGAGTCCAGAAGCTATTGCTGGTTAAGATTTCAGTACATTGGCAGAACCATAAAAAGGAACATGCACAGCTCCTGTGCTTGCTTCAAAACCACTATAATTAAACTAGCCCATTTAAAAGATGATTGGGGAAATTTGTATGCTAACAAATTACAGGAAACCTACCTGGCATTACCATCCTCATTTAGGAGAGCTCTAAAATGACTTATTCAACCATTTTGACTTAAATTATATATTACACTCCCCCCGCTTCCCTCAAGTGGTGATTTACGTGTGGTTTTGATTGTTTACATCTTAGAAATTAGGAGGCCCTGTTAAATGGGCTAGCTCCATTGACTACACCAACTTCTTGGGTTATGAGAGCCCGGGGGTCTTGAAACACAGTAGCCAAAGTGCAGCTTTGAATGTATGCCTGGAGAACTGGCTATACTTCGGTTACATCAGAACTAAATTATTTTAGCTCCAGAAATCTGGGGGCTTCAAAGACCCTAGCCCTGCACGGTTTTTATCCAAGGCCTATTTAAACTCATACAGGCTCAAACAGCCTGAATCTTTTGCATTTTTGGTGGTAGCAAGCAGGGTGCTGCTCCTTCCTGGATACCTACCAGTTAAAATGTTGCCATTCAAACAGTTCTAAACAGAGAATAGTTGCTTTGTTTCTAAAACACTTCAAATGATCAAGCTGTATAGCCAAGTAACCATGTAAAAACACTGTTGTGTGGGGCCCTCAGTAAATAGTTCAATATAGAATCTAGTTTTGTAGCCTGCATTCTCCACCCCAAAATGAACTACAACCGTTCTAAGGCTTTTCAGAAATGCTAGTTAACTATCTCTGCAGGACTTGAGATATAACGGTAATAGACTTCTTGTTAATGTAGGGTCTCTTTACTTGAAGGGTTCCAAAAAAAGTCTTATGTACTGTGTGTGTGTATTGTAGACAGATCTGGTAGTACTGTCTCTTAAAGTTGCTCAACACTTCTCATAAATCCCCGTTTTCAGTTGTTCATATCTTTGCCAAACTTCAACAATTTAGGCTGAAATTTTCCATGCTGAGTGACTGCCTCAGTTGGGATTTTTCTGAAAATTTCAGCCAAAACAGTTGAGCTGTTTGTGAGAATGAGGCTAGTGACAAAATGTTGTGCCCATCTTAAAAAATTCAGATGACATTTTCTTTGAAAAGCCTCTAGTGCCCCCAAAGCTTTAGAGCAGGGATTTGAACTTGTTGGGGGGTGGCTTTTGTGCCATGAATGTGCCCTGTGTTATTCCCCTTGAAAATATGCCCACTTTTTTTTAAACCAGAGGAATTTTTTTTTTAAACACATACTCAGATTTTACACCTGCACTTCTTAGATTTTTAGCAACCGCATTCCCTGAAGATTGTCTGCATTGGGCATATCTTGAGCTAAACAGGACTTTCCCTGCAATTGAGCTGTTACAGGCTCTACCTGGTCTGGGTACCTGAACTGACAGCAGAGAGGCTCTCTCCTGTGCTCTCAACCTGAATGCAAAGGAGACAAGTTAGATCTAAGGTGGGTGGGAGTAGATTGGAGTGGAAACTGTGACTGGAGGATGGTGGGCTAGGAGAGGGAAAATTGGATAGGGAGTGGAGATAGGGAGAGACGGACTGAGAACCAGTGAGGTGGGAAGGAAGACAGCTCAGACTAGAAGTTGGGGTAGAGGGGGAGAATTGGGACTGGCTGGGTAAAGAGAGTGGGATAAAGAGCTGAGGATGATGGGAGATTAGGACTGGGAGCCAGTGGGGACATGTTTATGTTTCAACTGGAGGCCAGAGTTGTGGGGAGAGATGGATAGTGTGAGGAGTTGGGAGTGATGGTGGTGAAATTAGGAATAGCTGGGCAAGGGGACTGTAATAAGAAGTCGGGGTAGGGAAGAGATGGGACTGGGACAGGCACAGGTTGGAGGGCTCAAGGCAGAAGGTGGTCATGGAGGTGTGAAAAGAGCAGAATAGTTTGGGTCTACTAGAGCACACTCCCTTCCAGAGCCTGGAATGGAACTCAAGATTCTTGCCAGCAAATCTGTGAAAGCAGCTGGCAAAGTTTATCATCAACTTTTAGTGCTGGTCCACATAGAGGATGACAACATACTACTGCTACCAGTAATTCCATTAGCTGAAGTGGCAGAGGTCTGTATGCTGGATCTGAAGGTTCCAGTGTTCCTGATGAGCCACGTGGCTGTTGATATGGCGGCACCTGTTGAACTGTAGACTTAATTCCAGCAGAAAAGGGCCACCCAATCAGTTATTTTTAGTGGATAAAACAAACTGCTTTGCCTATATCTGGATATCTTTTTGCTAGTTGTTTTGCTTTTACTAACCAAAACAAGTGGACGCACAATGTCTCTCTACTTTCCAGCAAACCAGCTGCGCTTTTTCCAAACCCTTCCCCTGATGAGAACGGTGCTGAAATAACAAGATAGGAATTTCTTTTCGCTATAACAATTATCCAACTAAACATGTTGAATGTTTAAACACACTTGAAAGCATGTGATGCTGCACACGGATAGGAGCCTTCTATTTAGCTTGCCAACTACTTATCCAGTTGGGTTTATTTTTGTAATTTTGTGAAACGCGTCCAGGTTTCATAATATCAAAACAGATACTTCACTTATGTAGTGCTAATTCAACAGAGGCTAACCCAGTTGATTTAAATTGATTTAACCACAGTTGAATTGTAAGATCTAATTTTGAAGAAATGTTTTCAATCTCTCAATCTTCTGCTTTTTCTTACAAATTCAACACACAATTCCCTCTTTTAACTTGTAGGATATGGTCTTTGATATTCTTTCACTTTCTTTAGTAGTTTAGTTTTTTTAAATTAGTGACTAGAACATGGGTTCCCAAACTTGTTCCGCTGCTTGTTCAGGGAAAGCCCCTGGCGGGCCGGGCCGGTTTGTTTACCTGATGCGTCTGCAGGTTCGGCTGACCGCGGCTCCGAGTGGCCGCAGTTCGCTGCTCCAGGCCAATGGGAGCTGTGATCGGCT